AAGACGTCGAAGGCGGGCGCACGCCGCCAGATGCACCGGTGCCTGCCACGTTCTTCGAGTGGATGGTGTGGTTCATCCAAGTCGACCCCTCTATCTCGTAATAAACTGCGCGATCCATCATGAAATTGAATCCCCTGCTCGCCCTCTCCTTCGACGTCAACTGGAAAAAGTCGGCACCTCCTGACGGTGATTGAAAGTGATGGACTTTCTTGAACTGCTGCATTAGATTGTCCCACTTCTTCCCGCATTTCTCTGCATTCCTGTCCACGCCGACGTTCTTCAACCTTTGGGCGACGTCTTGCCATTTCCATTCCCGCGGTTTCATCCGTGCGTATGCGTGGCCCATCCCCTGCATATGCGCATCTTGGACACGTTTAGCCCTTATGAGGGGTATAATGTGTTCCACGGACCAGAAGTTGCGCTTCTCCTCCGCATCACCGTCGCCTTCGCCACCGCTCCCCTTTCCCTGCCCTTTCTTCGTCCGCGGACGAGCATTGCGGCCAGGAGGCTTGGACTTCCCACCCTTACCAGCCATGTTGCTCTGCAACGATGGCGACGCGTGACCACCCCCCCCTTCCCCACACTCTACGTCGTTGTCGTCGTCGTCGTCGTCGTCGTCTGGTTCCGCCGGTGGATCGTCCGTCTCGTTCTCGTTCTTCCGGTCTCCCATGTGAAGACGCTCCACCCCCCGTGTGATGTATTCCTCTCGCCGCAGCCGGTGATCCCGCCGCAGGTCCCTCCACACCTCCCTCCCGTCGCGACCATCACCAACATCCAAGAAGTCGGTCCCACCGTCGACTCCGACGCCACAGACTCGTGCCACTTCCGACGCCGCAGACAGGGGAGATGGCAACTGCATCCACTCCGGCCGACCCCGAGCGCCCTTGGACAGAGAAGTCGCTCATGGTTGGGGCGTCGTAGAGTTCCGGTTCGTTCCCGCCGTCTCACTCGCCAACGCCCTCGTCCTCGCTGATCGATCAACAACTGTCAATTGCCCGCCTTCGTCGCCGGGGTGGGGTCGCACGAGCACTGTGCTCGATGGAGTTGTAGACCGCCCGGTGGACAAACCAAACGATAGGTTGACGCGGCCATCTCCTTCGTCTTCGTCAAGGCCAGGCCAAAGGAGTTCAGTGAACGACTGCTCGTACACGCCGCCGCCCGTCCCGCACAGCTCCGTGGCTGCCCACTCCTGCGTTGATCCGCTGCCCAACGACATGTTTTGTGGTCGTCTCTCCACCACCTCCTCCTCGTCCGAAGAGCCGGGAGTGGTTGCAAGTGCGGTGGCAATGCATCATACCCAACCCGCTGGGAGGCCCTGCCAACGGTCGACAGGCTTCCCCCACACCGCCTCCCTCCGACCTGCTCCCAACCGGACCGGGGGGTCGCCTGCCGTGCCTCCGTCCTGGCATCCTTCATCGAAGACCTTCTTTTGCGTCGACGCGGCGGCACGTTCCCAAGGATGCACACCTGGAAGAGAACCACAAGGAGCAGCAACAGGACAACGAGGATCAGCAGCGGCAGCCTGCGGAACACGTCAGCCATGAAACAGTCGACGACGACGGCAGCAAACGGAAGACAACGCGGGCGCCAACATAACAGCGGAGCGCAGTGCTGCAAACGGCCGTCCCAACTTCGCAACAATCCCCCGAGGACGTCTTCGGTCTCCAACGCTCAGTGCGTAATTGGGAGCTGGAGTGCGGCCTGAAATATTCGTACCTGCCGACCGTTGGGACATTCCCGCGGATTGCCAAACGCGACGAGGCAAGACGGCACCTTTCGGACGTGGGGGATGCCGGTAGCCCGCAAACGGTAACCGTTGGAGTGAAGCCGAACGTTGGCGACCCAACATGTCCGTCGAGACGCAGGCACGACCACTGATGGACCAGACGGAATTGAAAAATGTCGTCGAAGGAGCTGCCATCGACGCCCCGATTCTTCCGGAAGCTCGACCTCCGAGGGACCTCGGGAGGTCCCTTGGAGAAATCGCCAAAATGGCTGTGGCCACGAGGAATCCCCGAGGAATCCCCGAGGAAATGTTTTCACATTTTCTTTTCCGCGTCTTCCCCGAGGATGAGTGGAACGAGCATTTCCTTGGGGAATTTCGGGCCCCGAGGAGATGTTACCAACTCCAGCTTGGTCAAAGTCCTGGTCAACGCCTTGGTCAACGGCCTTGGTCAACGCCGGTAAATGCTGCTATGACCCCCGGTCAACTCTGGAAGTCGTTGGTCAACACCTCCGGTCAACCCTCTTGGTCAACCCTCCAGTCAGCTATGGCTGCCGGCTCATCTTCATCGCCAACCCTCTTCTTCTTCTTCACCTTCCTCGCCTCCTTTCACCCCGCTGTCTTCTTCTTCTTTTTCTTTTTTTTCCTTTTTTGTTTTTGATCGGCCTCCTCTTCACCTCTTGGCTATGGCCGCTCCTTCTCCTTCCTCGGTCTCTCCCCCTCTGTCCTTCTCCCTCCTTACTTCATCACTCCGTGCTACAAGCTTCGCGGCTATGG